GGGGGGCTTACCTTTCTGAGGAGGTGTAATCGCTCTCCTAGGGAGCGCATTTTGTCACCGTTTACTAAAGCTTGGTATTGGGTGAGGTGGTTCTTGGAGGTTTGAAGTTGGAAATTCTGGCCCACACCCCTGGTCGGCGGACCGGCTTTCATCCGTGGTGTGACGGGACCCTTGCTTTAGGGGCTCCTTTTTTTTTTTTCAAAGCTGCAAACTGGACAAATGTGGAATTCGGATCTTGCACGTCTTTTCGGTGTATTTGTGAGGGATGCGTCGCGTTTCGACGGCGCGCTTGCTAAGTAGGGCACTGGGGATAGGTGAGCGTGCGGCGAGCGTCCCCGTCTTTCTATGCCCTGCCGTCGGTCGGCGCGGCTTGCCTGCTCCCCGGGCGCCGGGAGATCTTGCGAGACCGAGCCGCCGATTCAACAGCACGGTGGTTCCTGCGAGGGCGGTCGAGGATGGGCCGGGGCGGGTAGACCAGCCGGCGAGGCAGCTTCCGGTTACGTGTAGCGGGTGCGGAGCGTTTGCGCAGACCGGTGATGCGCAGCAGCTGGGGTACTTTGATTTGCAGAGCAGGAGGGTGCGCAACTGGCTGCGTCCACGGAAGGGCGAGGGACCGGGCAGCGCGGCGGCGGCCGAGGACAAGATTGTGGACGACGTCCTGAAGGGCTGGGACGAGGAGCGGCTGGAGGCTTTGGGGTTGCGCGCTGAGAGCATGATTGGGGATGGGAGCGCCAAGGAGTTGGAGAGTAAGTGCGACGACGACTGGGCGGGCGGTCTTTGGGCTTGAGATGGACCGGTATTGGGATTTTCTTTACTGACGTGCTTGTTTTCTTTTGCTCTAGGACTTGTCGCGGGAAAACCGCCTGTTTGCGACAGATGCCACGACTTGATACACCACAGCACGGCGGCCGACACGGCAAAGCTCACCATGCACCACCCTACGGTTGAATCGCTGCGGGAAACCATTGAGGAGTCGCCGTACAAGTATAACCATATTTACCACGTCATCGACGCCGCCGACTTTCCCATGTCGCTCGTCCCGCGGCTCAACGTCCTGCTGGGCGACATTCCCCTGCGGTCGAGGAATCGGCGCTCGCGGTCGGGCAAGTTCCACAACGACCGCAAGACGGAGATGAGCTTCATTATCACGAGGGGGGACTTGCTCGGCCCCACCAAGGAGATTGTGGACTCCATGATGCCATATCTCCGGGACGTTTTGAGAGACGCCCTTGGTAGACTGGGCGGCCGCGTGCGTCTGGGTAACCTGAAGTGCGTCAGCGCCAAGAGGGGCTGGTGGACAAAGGATGTGAAGGAGGATATTTGGAACAGAGGAGGCGCCGGGTGGATGGTGGGCAGGGTCAACGTCGGCAAGAGCCAGCTCTTTGAGGCCGTGTACCCCAAGGGCAGGATGGGCGAGAGCAACAAGGGAGACAAGGACCGGCCGGCGCCTACGCATGCGCAGACCGCCGACGATGCCTACGGCCAGCGGGAAGCCTGGGAGCATCTCAACGTCGGCGAGCTGCTGCCCCCGCCGCAACCTACCCAAAACTACCCTTCCATGCCGGTCGTTTCCTCGCTCCCCGGCACCACGGCGTCTCCCATCCGCGTGCCGTTTGGAAACGGCAAAGGCGAACTCGTCGACCTCCCGGGCCTTGCGCGAAGCGACCTCGAGCTGTTTGTCAAGGAACCCCATCGCCAGTCCCTCATCATGAAGAAACGCATCGTCCCCGAACAGGTCGCCGTCAAGTACGGCAAGTCGCTGCTCCTGGGCGGCGGTCTCATCCGCATCACGCCTCGCACGCCGGACGTGGTCTTCCTCATGTACAACTTTACCCCCATCGACGAGCATCTCACCATGACGGAAAAGGCAATCGGGTTCCAGGAGCAGACGCGCGAGTCTATCGGCATCGAGAACATCACTCTCCCTGGCGTCGGGGGGAGGATGAAGCACGCGGGGACGTTTAAGCTGTGCCATGACGTTACCAAGAAGCGCGCCGGGCCGCTGACGCGCAAGAACGCCGTCGGGCTCCAGGTCGACCGGTTGCCATTCAGGGTTGTGTCTGTGGACATCCTGATCGAGGGCGTCGGGTACGTCGAGGTGGTTGCGCAGGTGAGAGCCAGGGAGTTTGAGCGGTGGGAACGCATGCAGGCGGATATTGAGCGGGCCGCGGCCGTGGAGGGCGAGGACGCTGAGTCTGTTGTTGCAGCGCCTGGAGAAGAGCCGGCGTCGCAGGATCCGTTTGGGGAGATGATGAGGAGTAGGAGAGATGTGCTGGGCGAAGATGTGCCTGCGGTCAAGCCGCGGGAGAAGCTACCCGAACCGGATTGGCCTGCGGTGGATGTCTTCTCCCCTGAGGGAAAGTTTGTGGGCTCCAGGAAGCCGATTAACGGGTGGTTGAATAACAAGCCGAGGGTTCTGGCGGAGCATAAGAAGACGCGGCCGAGGAGGAGTATGAGGGGGGCCAAGAAGAAGGCCAAGATGGAGAGGCGCAAGGGCGAGTGAGGTGCGGTTTGGATGTGTATAATTGGTTGAAGCTGTACAGTATGTATAATACCACTCTATGATGCATGTGCTGTTTATATTTGGGCTGGGAGTACTGGCAGATGGGTCGTGTAGTGGCTCTCGTGAAGCTGTAATGATGCTTGTGTGGCAGCAGCAGCAGCAGCAGCAGCGGCTCTGCATACTATACATGCAGATGCAGAACGTTCCTTTTTGGCTGAATCTACCTGAAGCCCTGCCGTCTTGCGAACCCGACTTATACATGCCCACGGCTCCCGTCAACGGATACGAGTGACGTGTGTGGAACGAGCGAATGGCGGGGGGCGGATCATCCCATGTCCCAACCCCAGAAAGGGAACTCCAGAATTTTCGACATGCACCTCGCTCGATCCCAACAAACGTCATCATCCTCGTGTAGAAACCCGCTTCACCGCGCACGCCTGCCTCGCCCTAGATATCTCCCCAGAATAGAGTGCATATAGACTCACCGCGCGCGTTAGAGACGCCACCCCCCCAAAACCGTGGACGTAGCTTCAGCGCTGCCGACCCTCTTTGCACCCGACACGACGACCATGTCAGATAGACAACGCCAACGAGCCGCCCCGGCGCCGTCAACGTCCCAAACACAAACACAGACCGGATCACAGACAGACACACAGCGCATCCTTCGTCTACGCGGCGGCCACAACGCAAATGGGCGATCAGTACAGTGGGCAGAGGACGTAGTAGACAACGAAGGCTTGGGCAGGAAGAGCTCCAAGGGTAAGCATTATCAACCTGGGAATGCGTGCGCTTTTCGCCATGTTTTTCCCCCTATGAGAGGGCGTCTAGCTTACCGATGATTGCTTTTAGTTTGCTGCATATACCACAAGCCAAAGGGCGTAGACGAATCCAGCGACGAGTCCTCCTCCTCGTCGGATTCCGACACCGACTCGGAGCCGGAGAGCGGGAGGGGAGACGGCAAGAAGGTGCCCGCGTGTGATGGTGGCCATTCGCATGGCCGTGCGAGGAGGCCCAAGGGCGGGCGCAGGCAGAAGAGGCCGCCGAGCCCGAATGCGTATGAAAAGGTGCCGAAACAGAAGCCCAAGGGGGAGTCCAAGTAAGGCCCATGGCGACGAGTAGAAGGACTCGGCATTATTACTACTGTTTGTGCTCTTACCGTTGCATGTTTTGGTTTGCGTTGATGCGCTTTGATGCCGGGGGGCCCTTGGAGGGCATGCCATTTCTGTGGCGTATACAGCGTGGGTAGGGATTATGAATATAATTGGCGCTGAAGTGGTGCTGGGAAATATGCACTTGGGTCTTCGCGAGGCCGTTTTCCAACGGTTGAAGGTGCGGATTGGGTGGATGGGTGCCGAGCCATCAGTTCATGTTGTCTTGGTGTTGAGGGCTTAGATGATGGCTGCCATCTTGAACCTTTAACGATGTGTCCTGGAAGCTCTCTGCGACTCTGCTTTCTCACAGCTTCTCTGGCTCAGATCGGTGCCTTGTCCTTTTGAATCTGGCCTGTCCGCGCTGAGCAACCTCGGCAGCTGGCTCCTGCTGCTGATGTTACGGGTGGGGATGCGGATTTTGGTCAAGGGGTCCTCGGAGACATGGCTTGATGAAGACGTAGGGTGGTGAGTCCTTATTGTTACATGGTAGAGTGAGAGGCAAAAAGTACTCGACTAGTCTGGGTACCTAGCCATCTTGCACCATGATAATACATTGTAGAATAAGTATACTAGTTAGTATACGTGGTATACAAACCATTGATACCGGGTATTTTTCTTAAACCACGACGCCGGCTGTCTATCATCAATCACACATCCTGAATCTGTACATTCATCACTCTCTCCTTCAACACCTGTGGCACTGGGAACTTGGCAGAAAAAAGGGGTCGTGAAAATCCTCCATCAGCAAAATGGGCAAACAGGTCCTTCACCCCGACGACCTTATGTCTTCCCACTCTCAACAACAAAATACTTGCCCGCCTTCCTGCCCGCCGTCCCTACAACATCCCACTTCTCACTGCTCTCATCTTCAATCCTTGTCCGCACCCTCCTCGGACGCTGGTAATGCCCTACGCGCTCTTCTGCATCCAACAGCCCCTGCATGTCTGCCAACGTGATTGTGTTTTCGCGTCTAGCCTCGTCCGTCTCGTCTTGAATCGCACGCAGCGGTTCGACACCCGCTGTATCGACGCGCTGGACGGCGCGGACAAAGTGGAGTTCGTCTTGGAGCGTGGCTATCATGGTGTGTTCTTCAGAGGGCGTCTGGGGCAGGGGAAGCGCAGCGAGGCGTAGGAGGTGGTGTAGCTGGGAGCTTGTTATCTTCTCCGTTGGCGCCGGTGCTGCTGCTGTTGTTGCCGGCGGTGGGTTGCGGAGAGATCTCACGGACCAGGTCGGCTTGGAGAGCATCTCGGCGGGTGACGGTTTGCTGCATGTCGACAGGTTGTGCTGCCGGGGCCGTAGGGCGCGACGCAGGAGGCAGCGGCAGCTTGTGCAGAACGGCATTGTTGACGGTGTGCTTTTGAAGCACCAAGACCTTTTTCCCCCCCCTTTGTCTTGAATTGTGGTGGTGGTGAAAACGGACGCATCAAAGTTGAGCTCGGAGTCGCGGAGCTCCATGGGCTCCACCCGCGACCGGGGAGGGGCCTCTACCGTGCGTGACCTCTTTGTGGTGGCGTTTCACCAATCCGCAGCTGAGGCGTGTCGTCAGTCTGTGTGGTGTGTGTCATGGTTCCGTCTTCCTTGTCAACCACCGCCTTGTCCAACTTACATCCTGCAACCTTGAACATCGAATCATCACTGCCTCGCCATCGCAGCTACACGGGTCATCAAGAAATAGCTCCTCGTTACTGTTTAGCATTGAAAAGGCACGATCCGCAGCCATGCCTCGAGATCCTCACACTCTGCTCAAACAGGTGCGGCCAACCTCCTCCCCTTCCGCTGCTGGGATTCCCAACTGATGTCTTCGTTTGGCGATGCAGGCAGAGAAGAAACTGTCCGGTGGCGACGGCTTCTGGGGCTTCTTGAGCGACAGAAGTGGAAACGACAGTGATGGGGCGGATTTACTCGAAAAGGCAGCTAATGCTTTCGTGGCAGAGAACTCGTGTACGGGCCCCTCCTGTCCGCAGCGTGCATGCAAACAAGGAACTGCTCTAACGATTGACTAGTTATCGAGGCAGGAAAGGCCTTCGAAAAGCTCGCCGCAGTCTACAGAGACAAGTTAGAATTGGATTCGTCAGCTGCCGGTGCTGCTGGGAGCGCCATTGAGGCCTACGTGAAAGCGGGTGACGCCGCTGCCGCCGCGCGATGCTTCGAGCTCCTTAGGTCCCCAGCCTTGAAGAAGGGTCAATCGAATCGAGTCGACAGATATGGGCGGCTGCTGGCCGGCCTGTACGAGAAGACGCTGGGAGATATGAAGTCGGCATCGTTGTGTTATGATGCGATTGCGGAGGAGTACGAATCAAACCATAATCCACAGTGCGTATATTTGCCTTCTCTTGTAGGCGGCCCTAACCATACACCTTGCTGACAATGCTCGTCGCAGTAATGCCAGGAAGAACAAGATCCAGGCGGCGGCGACCCGCGCCATCTACTTTGCCCAACTAGTCACAGCCGGTACTGATCCACACGAGAGTGCCAAGGACCTCAAATATGTCGAGAGGACCTTGATAAGATTGGCACAGGACTCTTACAACACCAACGAAATGCTGCTCAGACTGGGGATTGTTTACCTCATCACAGGAGATTCGAACGACTATGATAAGGCTGCAGCCCCTGCCGCACCCGCTGCTGCAGCCGTTGGTGCTCAAGCCGCCGCCGCCGGATCTGCAGCTGGTGCGCTCGCCGAGGAAGCCAAGGCGGCATTCGATGCTCAGACACGACTCGACTATGGTTTCACAAGGTCGAGGGAAGGTGCACTAGTGCGTGATCTGGCCGCGGCGCTGAAAGCGGACAACCTGCCACAGTTTGTGAAACTGGTCATGCAATATCCTGGGACAAGTGAAGAGTCCAAGGCCTGGAATGAGACCATGTTGATGCTAGCAGGGGGTTACAAATGGAAGGGCAATGCCGTCAAGGCAGAAATGGAGAGACAAAAGCGGCAGCCTTTTGAGGATTCGCAGAACGAGGGTCAGCAGCAGTCTTGGGGAAATCAACCGCCGCCTCAGCATTACTCGCAGCCTCAGTATCAGTCACGAGAGCAGCCCCCATATCCGCCAGAAAAGCAGGGCGCAAATGATCTGGAGCCAGACGTTCCGGATGCAAACGAATGGGCCTAAGGGTCCAGAGCAGCAGCATCATACGTGGAGAAGTCGAGGGTGTTCCAGCAAGGGGCTGATGGGCATCGTACGGGGCCGCGGTTTGCGTGGAGAATAGTGCTGTGCTGGCCTACCAAATGAATCTATGCCTTGCACAAGGCAAGAAGAACCGTTGCGTGGGAAACGAAGACCAGGCCATAACTGGAGCTAGAACTAGTTTGTCTAATATAAAGCTGTCTTGTGAGGTGCAGTCCTATGCAAGCAACTCCATGGTCGTCGACAAGTGTATGGTAACTACCTAGGTACCTAGGTACATAGACACACCCAACTAAGCTAGTGAGAGACGCTGCTAGGAGGCAGAAGCATATTAATATGTACCTAGTACCTACTACTAATCTAGAGTACCTTTCCCGTCACTTGATATTGAATAATCCAACCCGGGCCGCTTGTTGCCCCACTTCAACCCTCGCCCCAGAGCTGCCAACTTCCCAGCATTTTCAACGTCACCTCTACACGCCTCAACCTTTATCCTCTCTCTCCTCATCCGCACCGGCCAACAATTGCATCATGACGGAAACCGCAGAAGCAGCGTCCAGCTCCAGCTCCGCCGCGGCCGCCGCCGAGCGCGCGTCCGAGCAAGCCCGTCTCCGCCGGGAGCGCCGAGAGGCCAAAATCAAGGCCGGCGGTGCAGCGAGACTAAACAAGATCAATAGCATGGCCGGCCGCATCGTTCACGGTACGTGGCTCTCGATTCCGCCCATCGCAGTCCCCTGCCATCTTGCACTCCAGCTGAACCGGCAGCAGATGACGACCAAGCTACACCCGCCGCAGCAGACAAACCCACCACGCCATCGAAACCCCAAACGCACGGTGACCCTGACGAAGTCGACATCTCGCAACACTTCTACACACCGCTAACCACGGCTCGCCCTGCGCCCTCATCCTCCTCCCCCGGCCCCGAACCAGCCATCTCCGAGGCTCAACTCCGCCAAATGATGCTCGGCTTCGACCGACCCTCCAACCCCGACACGCCCGGGTCCTCGACGCCGAGCAGCATGCCCAACATGGACGACGACCCCCTCATGAAGATGATGACCCAAATGATGGGCCAAGCCGGCGCCTCGCCCTTCCCCGGAATGCCCCCCATGCCGGGACAGCAAGCACAACAAGCCGCCGCCGCCGCCGCCGCGGCGCCGTCCGCCTACCAGACAACCTGGCGTGTCATCCACGCCCTCATCGCCCTCAGCCTGGGCCTCTACCTCACTCTCTTCACCACCTTCTCCGGCACAAAGACGGAGCGCGACGCCGCCGCCCTGGCGCACGTGCAGCACACGCCCGCCGACGACGACAACGAGCACCACAAGCGCATCTTCTTCTGGATATTTGCCACCTCCGAGGCCGTGCTGCTCACGACGCGAGTGTTCCTGGACAGGGGCCGCGCACCGCCGCCGGGCATCCTGTGGACGATAGTGGGGTACCTCCCGGAGCCGATCCGGGGCTACGCGAGCGTCTGCTTGAAGTATGGCCAGATTTTCACCACTGTGAGGACAGATATACTGACCTGCATGTTTGTTTTGGGCGCGTGCTCTTGGCTGAGGGCATGATGTGATGGATTCAATCTGTAAAGAAGAAAAAAAGTATCTGGCATTTGGAACACTGGGACTGTATAGCTACGTGGTGCAGATACTATGACCAAGTGAATGCGTCAACTGCGCTATCAGTGGTGCTCTTCAAATGTGACTTTGCCGAGAGTATGTTGGGACCATGGTACCAAGGAATCTGATACCAGGGCCGTCGTGGCTCGCATTTGCAGGAATCCAGAAAATCCGTGAGTCGAATTGGACGCCATACCAGCAAGAATGGTACAAAAGAGGAAAACCCTGGCAGCCCAAATCTCTGTTCAATGGCGTCCCGAAACCAGTGCTTACCCAGTGAAACATACGGACCAAAGAGAAGGGAAAGAGAGGTGTCAGTAATTATAACACTCCAATCGGGACATCGTCCAGGGTACTCTGTACAATCTAGGCGTATGGCAGCGAACCCGTGTCACGATAATTCCATCATACACTGTCGTCAAAAAGATAAATTCGCATTCAAGGGCTTTTTATTTGAATGTGTACATTCTCATCCTACCGTCCGAGTCGACCATCTTGCCAACCTCGGACAACTAACTGCCTGAAACCGCAATTTCCCTTCACGGATCGCTTAGTGCATATTAGGGACAGTTCTTTTTTTTCCTTCTCTTGCCCGCCAGATAAAATAAAAATCATTCAACCCCCGCCGGCTCGTGCAAGAGCCAATTTCAATCATTCAACGCCGTGTGGTATCAAGTCGGGAGCTCTAATTCTGGCATCCCCCCCATTCTTCCAAAATTCCGTTCCCGTAGGCCGTAGCAAACATATCTGTGTCAAGGAAAATAAAGAGCCAAACCCAGGAAGCAGTGTTATCGTTGCTCGAGGGCAGAGACTTGCATGGCGAGGGCCTTGTTTCCTCGGAGCAGCTCGTCCAACCACTCGGCAGCCATGGCTAGGGTCGTGCTCTTGCTGAAGCCGCCCCCCTTTAGCCCGGGTACCAGTTCGCCCAGGTCGTCGAAACCTTCCTTGATGAGAGTTCGTCGTTTTTGTTCACTGCGGATGTGGTTCTCGCGCTTCTGTTCCTCGGAGAGATTTTCACGAGGGGGCTTTGACCCGTTGACGCCCGACTTGCGGCGTCTGCTGCCGGCAGTGGTGTCTGAGGGGGGTTCTGATCCGCTCGCTGACCGTTCAGACTTGGTCTTTCGCTTCCGGCCCGACTTGGACGAGGTATCGTCGTCGTCGTCGTCGTCATCCTCATCGACGGCGGTGCCCCGGACATTTTTGCTCTTCCGCCTCTTCCTTGGCGGCGCGTTGGGGTCTTCCTCTCTCTTGATGTAGACAGGTCCGTCACCGTTGCTGCTTGCGGCTTGGCCATTGGCGGGACTGCCGGGGCGGGTGTTAGCCGCGCTCTGATTGACTTCCAAGCACTCGAGACACTTCATCTGGGTTTGATGCATCGACTCCACGGACTCCTTCCTTGGCTCTGGTACGTACCCCTGGACATCAGAGAAGCTTGCGTCTGAACCCCATTGGAAGTCGCCCAAGACAGGTTTCGGGACGGCTGTCTTTTCTTTTGACCCCCACATCCAGCGAGTGAATGTGTGATCAAGTTCGTTTCCCTGGCTACTCCTCCTGGCCACTCTCTGGTTTTCTTCCGTGAACTCCTCCATCGGCTGGTGTCTGAGGTGGCCAACTGGGTAGACCAAAGGCCGGTTGGCGGTACTGCCGGAATTGCTACTGTTGCCGGGGCTGCTGCCGCTCTTGGGTGTACCGGCGCGGTTGCCATTCTGAAGCAGGGTCGCGGCGGCGTTCAGGACGTCGTCCGAGTGCTGCTGAGAAAAGGTTTGTGTATGTGAAGGAGCAGGAGGGGGAGGGGGAGGCATCATGCTTGAGTCGGCCGACAATATTCGCGACAGCTCGTTCTGGTGGTCACTGGAGAAACCAAAATCGGCCGATGTCTCCTGGGGACCGAGGGAGGTGGAAGAGCCCATAAACTGAGGGGGAAGGTCTAGCCAGGCATCGCTAAAGTTGAGGCCCTCGCCAAACGAAGGCATATTGTATTGATTCGACGTCATGTCCTCGAAGAAGGAGCTGAGGAACTTGCTATCCGTCTCTGTTAGGAGCGGCGCTCCGGGAGCCGGGTCTGGGGCGGCATCGAAGATGTCTGGCTGCGTTGAGTCTACCGAATCTATTGCGTCACACGCGAGAGGGTCAGCATGAGTGAGCGGCGGCGTACGTTTTTGCAAGAGGTTAGTAGAAGGGCGGACGAGCAGAGAAACCAAGGCACAATGAGAGAAGGGGACGGGCAGGATATGTAGCAAGATGTGCACATACACCCAAACATGAGCAAGGGATCGGATTCAGGCTGCGTCGAACCCATCCTGGGAGCGTGCCGCACGGCGAGCATGAGGAGCGTCGGTTCTCGTAGTCGGGGTTGCGGTGTGCTAAAAATTGTCGGAAACGGCGCCGTGCACCGCCAACGGACGCGATGCTGGTGGTGGTGTTGGTACGAGTGGAGGTGGTCGAGCAAGACAAGTAAAGAGAAATAGAGAGGAGGAGAAATAAAGTAGGCAAGAAGCATGTGCAAGGTGGGAGTTTTGAATGCTTAGCACATGATGATGAGACCCGGGGAAATCTGGGGTAGTGGGCAGGGTGAAGACGGGAAACCGTGGGACAGATTTTGGAGTTACGAGATGGCAGATGAGCGGGATGGACGGCGGATGACGGGCGATGGCGGAGGCTGAAGGATGCCGGCAGGGTTCTTGGCTGCTCTCGAGTCTTGCTTGCGCTTGGAGTCGGGGTGTCTGGCCTGGGCCCAAGAACTCAGCCCAGGTACTACTCCGTACTCTGTGGGGCGGGGCCTCTTTTGACCAGACCTTTTTTTTTTTTTCAAGTTCATTGATCTGTCCCCTCTCCAGCGCCTCCCCGCTCGTCCCCTCCTTGGTTGCTTGGGCAAGTACGCTGAGGTGGTGGTGCCTTGATTCTGTGGCTCGCGAGTGGTCGGGTGGTCGAGGGGTGCGGTTGTGGCCACCAGCTTTCCCTCACTCGCATTGTCACACCCAGGAATGTCGAACACAACGCCAATGCTCAACTATTGTCGTCTCCTTACAGATGTTACAGATGACCGTGGCTCCGTGCTTAATGCTCCGTGCTCGATGCTCCACGCTCCATGCTCCCTGACAAAGTTGCACTCCCTACTGGCATGCATGTTCAGACCTGCGGACGGACTGCCATTGTCGAGGCCGGCCGAGGAAGCCATTTGGGCGGATACCCTCTCCAGTCCAGTCCGCAGAATTAGCCCTCACAGTTCAATTTAGCCCACACACGGAAATGTGGGAGGGGAGGGACCGTGATCTACGGGCTACCTCTGTGTGCATCTGTATCGTATCCCACGCCTAAGGCACTTGGATGAGAGCGGGGCATTCAATTTTGGCTAGGCGTGTTGGGTGACAAGCTACGTCCAGTCGTTGGCGAGTGTTTGAAGTGTCATTCCTGGAGCTGCGTCATATCCTTTGTGCCGGACAGATGGAACTCGAGTTTTGGCCCAATATCATGAGTTTAACAAGTCGACTGCCCACGACGGACGGATCTGGCAACCACACGCGTGCAGGGCCCAATCGTCAGGGACAAACCTACCAACAACCATGAAGCCCTATAAGACGCGTATTAATATTGCAAATCCCAGCCTGCCCGCAATCACTCCGCCCATCTGCAAGTCTCGGACCGACGGCTGCCGTCGTTGTTCCCAAAACGTCAATATAAAATCTTGTTTGAGCCAACGCCCTTCATGTCCGTGCCATTATTGTTGTGTGGGAATTAGACTTGTGTACTCCCGTGTATCTATTGTACAAAATGCCATCCTTCAAGCAATTACGGAGTACGTTATTTACCTGCTCTTCACTCTAGAGCGCAGCAACAAGGACTTGTCGATACACCATTCTGTTTGAACCAAGTACACACCGCGACACCCACTTCGACGGCCTGCAAGCCATCTGTCTTGTCGTACCAGATTGAACTGCTTGCTCGCCGCCATCGGGTAGCAACACCAAACATCGATCCGTCAAGCCCTCATCCGGTATGTACTCCGCAACACTGATGGATGTTCCTCTAGCCGCGTCCGAGAGGGTCTCAGAATTTGGCCGTCAAACTTACCCAACCCCTGTCAACAAGCGACGTCGACTATGATACTGCGGAGGATTTACGGAGCTACTCCGTATTATAACATCTCCAGAATCGCCCCGCCAGCTTTGCCCTGTATTGCCTGGGCCGCCTGCCATGAACGCCTTTTCCCGACGAGGACAAATGCCGGCCGGCTGGATGCGACAATACTCTCAAGGTAGCCATTTTGTTCTTTACGACAGTCATCGACTCCCAGAGACGTATGATTGGTAGTAGACGTCAATTGCGCCCCACGAAGCACTCGACTCCCCACGTGAGATGGAGCCGGCGTACGTAAATCTCGCTACCGGAGGACAAGGCACGTCAAGTCACTATGTATTCCTGCATCCGCCACAATCACATGTCATCTGGTCTCGCCCTCTTTTCTGCCTCGAGACCTTTCTCCAGAATGTCTCTGGTCGATTCCACCAAGCCATTGTGATGGGGATGGTCATGACTCCGATCAATCCCGGGCTTATTGTGCCTCGTAGCAAGGTCCGGAGTACCCCGTCGGTTGATCTCAAGCATGGGATTGGCGCGGCGACTATTTACAGTAGGTCATCCATCCTTTCGTCTCACAAAATGTTCGTATTGCCTACCCATCAAGAAGTTGTTTTGTGGCACTATCAGTTCCCCTAAGCAGTTTGGCTTGTTCGGGATAGAGTCGGATCCGGCATAAGCTAGGCCGGTCCACACCATTACCTTGCCTGTAAATCATGATGCATTTCTTAGCTGGCGTGGCTTTTTCGTCCCTTTCCTGCTATTCGTGAAAGCGAGAAGAAAGGAGGACCCTTTATATCTCATTGTTGGTTTGCATGACACGCTCATCGGATGTATATCGGGTCCCGCGCCTGTATCTGCCAATATTCTGTGTTGTTTTTGGACGAGCCCCGTAGACCCTTGGCAAAGCCCCGGTTGAAACTGTGTCGACCAGAGCACATGACCCGAAATAGCTCATTCTTGGCGTGATCTGGAACAGCCCTGTACATAGTACTCCGTAGTTAATCGCGGGCAGAACGCCAACATTGAGGGGTCTCCCATATCCTCTTTCTCGGGATGCTTGCGACCATTCGTTGCGAACATTAATGCGCTTGCCGTTATCGGTGGCTTGCAATAATGTGGCTTTGTAGCTTATTTCAGGACATTGCATAATTCACCTGAGCCTCTTTCTGGTGTATGGGAGAAATTGATGGCGTCACCACGTTTGTAAAACAGTTGGCGAGGACAGAGTGGCCTCTGTAGATCTTGGCAAGCTTGACTGTTGTACGGATTAGTCCTGAGCGACATATATTGACTGGTCTTAGGTGTGCGGCTGCACGCTGGTTCCACGTACCCCTGCACAGTCTGATGAAGGTAGTTCGGAGGGCTTGCCATATTGGATTGCTGACGATGGTGGTTTCGGGACATTTGCCTGGCTTGTTTGTACATGTATAATGCATGGTGTCTTTCCGAGGGACCGATTCCAAAGTTCAACGCCAATATTTCATGTTTGATTCTCTGCGTTTCCGAAGTCGACGAGACACATGGCGTTTAGAAGGATTTATTAGAGTGCGTTGACCCCTTCCAGAGCGGATATTACGGACACCATCGTGTGCCGAAAAGATATCCATGCCGATTTGCAGCTCGCATACGGAAATCTCCGGCCAAAGTCATCTACTAGTTGATGGGTGCCAAGTAATGCTTGACCTAAAAGAAGCCAACAGCGGATTAACAACAGTGGAGGTGGTCCCACTGCCTGCGGTTGATGCGTAGTCATGAATTCCGTACCTCTTGCTTGGTGTTCTATTTTTTTAGGTCCCGTTTTGACCCAAGATGGACAGTTCCAATTTAAAAATTTGAGTTAAAGCGTGAGGTTGTGCGTGAAGACGGGGCACCAGAAGCAGAGACTGGGATCATGCTGCCGGTTGGGACCATGTTCCAGCACACCCACACAGCTGCCCACAATGATGGAGATGGCAACCGTGCTGGGAAAGTCGCCCGATTGCCCCTGTAGACTGTTGTACTGCAGCATCGCCATGTTGTGAAGACATACATACAGACTGTCGATGAAGTTGAATGCTGAAACGCCGAGCAGAATTGACATGTCCCCCTCCCCCTCCATAGAGTACGTACTGCCCCTACCCCACGCTTCCCAATGCTGGCCGAGGCTTGTGACAGCTGCTGAGCTGGCCAGAAAGGAACTGTGTTTTCCTGAAGCCAAGGAAGGAGCTCTCCAGCTCGAGCTTTGGGGTGTTTCGAACATTCAATATTGAAGCTTTGGAATAACCACATCATTCAGTCCACGAGGTCACACGCTCTCTCGCGACCGTCTCCGTTCTTAACGTCTGGCTGTTTACGTCGTACTCGTGCGCAGCATTGATGCTGTGCGACCGAACACGCTTCCGCGGCTCTCGCTACAACCACGGCCGCTGTTGTTTCGGACTCAGACGCCGACTTGCAGCGGCAAGCCTTTCCCGTGGCGAGACCTGTCATCTAATATTGTATTGACGCGACACCAGATTGCTACTCCGTACACGGACACAAATTCTCATCCAGTACCTGGCGTCTACGATATACGTACCTAGGTACATACATCTCCATCAACACTATCGAATGCGCCCCTTCTCTTTGCATACCGTCAACTTTTGTCTTTCTGCGCTCCTGTGGATTGCAAGGGACCGGCTATTTTGCGCCGTGGAAAGAGGAACTGCGAATGCCACTGTCACCTTGGTGTGACGCTTCCAAAGACCTCCCGAAGGAATCAGGAACTGTCAATGGCAAGGCTGTCGTCGGCGCTGCTACCCGTGGTTCGTAGGAGCCAAGTTCCAAACGAAGCCGTGCACCGCCAAAGTGAACTGCCACAGATCAGCCCGACTTCTACCGACCACCAGCGTTGAACGTATTTCCTGGAAATTCGCTCGCCATCAGCCGGTTGGTCAACCCCGGATTGTCAACTGCCCCATCCCTCTTTCGTCCGCCAATTCCCCATTCGCGAGTATTTCCCAACATGGAACTACGGGGGGCTGCCTCCAAAGGCAGTCCAGATAATCGAAGCATTCTCACTTCAACCATGACCAGTATTAGCACTGGTACTAGCTCCCCCAACTTTCTGCAGCAGCAGTCGATTCCACCGCCCCTGCGGCCGCTTGTACGCGCATACCTGTTGGGCTATGCATCTGCCGTACTGCCACGACTCTTGACGCTTGTCTTGCAGCATTTGTCCAACAGGAAGCGGAAGACCCCCAATTACGCATTGCCAGAAAGAGACGAGAACACGTTTTTGGAATCCGCAAAGCATGTTCTGAAGACTGGTTTGGACCCTTGCCGATTTCCCACGTTTTGTGCTACCTTGGTTGGAGGTGCCACTCTATTACAGGTTCGTCATCATCTTATTTAGCTACTGCAAAACCATCTCGCTAGCTTTATCAATCTCGATTTACAAACTATCCTGACATCTCACACACACCACACCCCACATCTTTACCCCAACCACCATTTTGAGACCCGGATCCCGGTACTTCGTCTCCCAAGCTTCACCACACCACCCCAAACCTAGTCTATGCCATTCCCAGAAAAACCATATCAACACGGATCAGAAGTCAAAAACGTTGGCCATTCTGTCACGGTTGCCTTTCTTCCCCTGTATATTGTTACTTTTGGTGGCAACTCACAGCGGGAGGCCAAAAGTATTTGACCAAATCAGGTACCTAGCTATCACGCTCTACACTACAACATATTACAGTTTATTAGTGTATACTTATTGGTGTGCAAATATACTCTGGCGCAGATTGTATCTTCTACGGTTGTGTTCTCTACACCCCCGGTTAACATTTGTTGGAAACAAGGCACCCTTGAACACGATCATAACCCGCGCCGCCACAAACCTGGGCAGTGTTGCCAAACTAAGGTACGTAGGATCGGATCTCCGGCCAAACTATCAAGTTCCGTCCTGGAGCTAAGCTAATATCCACGCTCTTGTGATCTCCACTCCAGACTTAGCAGATTCCTTGCCGCGTTTATTGCTGCTTGGTTTAGTCTAAAGCTGTTGCAGTCTAAAAAGCCTACATTACGAAGGCGCGCCGGATCATCTACAACTCGACACGTCGATCCCGCAACCGGCGAGAAACTTGCTGGGAGAACGGTGGACCTGACACTATTCGCGGTAACGCAGGCTATAGACGTTATTGTTGGCGAACTATGGGCACGACACAAGAGCCGGCGCCTGGCCGCGCAAAAATGGACCAAGGTACGAAATTATGCGGCACGCAACTCACCGCTTTGCCCCAGTTTGCGTTTGCAGGACATAGCTTGTACATGCAGTCTCGCGTGCTCTTTGGCCCATGCTGTGTATACCCTAGCTTATGCTAGACTAAACTATTGAATCTAGTCAAGTTTTGCTAATTTGTAAAACACAGATCGAGACTTTCATCTCTCGGATGACTGACCCAGTTTCATTCGTAGCATCCTGCGCACTCATCATGTGGGCCTGGTTCTACGCTCCTGATAACCTCCCACGGGCATACAACAAGTGGATCACATCAGCTGCGCACGTAGATGTTCGCCTCATTGAAGCACTGCGCCGTTGCCGGACCCGTGAGCTGAGTTATGAGAAGGAAACAGGTCAGGCCCGTCTCCTTGGCTCCATGTGTACAGATTACAACCTGCCTTACGAATGGGGCGATCCATGCAAATCTATCCCATTCCCTTGTGATATAGTCCATATGGGACGCGGCCCATCCTGCGAATATCACGCCTGGCGAAGATTCTGGCTCTCCTGGAAGTGGTCAATGTATACATACCTTCCCCTCACCTTGGCCCTACAATTGCGTAGGCCGAATCGCGACTCTCTCAGGACCGCACTCCTCTCGGCCGCCAGATCATCCGCCTTTTTGGGCACTTATATTACGCTATTCTATTACGGCGTCTGTCTTGGTCGAACCCGCATTGGCCCCCATTTACTCGGGAAGGATGTAGCTTGTCGACAAAATATAGATGGCGGGTATTGCGTGGGCGTAGGCTGCTTCCTCTGCGGATGGAGCGTGTTGATCGAGACTGCGAACCGGAGGAAGGACATGGCCCTATTTGTTGCACCTCGTGCAATGGCTACGCTGCTGCCCAGGCAGTATAAAATGGAGGTGCAATGGAGAGAAACGCTGGCGTTTGCCTTGAGCACGGCAGTGGTCTTTACCTGTGCGAGAGAGAACCCAAGGAGGGTGAGAGGCATGCTGGGTGGAATATTGGGTCTTACAATGAAAGAGTAAGTTATGTACGAGTCTGTCTATAGTAGGAACATGGTGGTGTTGTCATAATACTTGATGCGGGTGAAGTCATTTTGTTGACCTTGGCACCATGACCGAATGTAGCATTGTGAAGGAGTTTCAGATGCACATTCTACATAAAAGCCAAATTCTACATCGCACTCTACATCGCGGAACTACTCCTAGCATCCTCTGCGTGGGTGTGTTGCTGCGGTCCTGGTTGCAGACGTACATCGCATGAAATTCGTAATTCGTACGGGATAGCACAAACACGGTGTAAGCCGTGGTTTCCTATTCAGGAACGTTGTGTACAATTCCAGCAGCTGGAGACCAAGGATGAAGAGTGGTGCCTTGAGATCCCGTGATTTAGCTGTAGCGAGTGTAAACAAGACAGGACTCCCCAATTCATGCCTCCAACCATTGCGCCTTCGCAACTCACCTTTTTGCAAAATATTATTGATAGCTCGCCCGCACACCGGACACACGAACACCGGACCCACGATTTGGATTCGGACATAAATCATCATGGATTCCAGCCAGGAATTTTGACCGACGCATGTCCCTTGTCAAGGACATTGTTTGCTCCTTCGGTCTGAAGGTTTGTACAGCTAACTCGCAAGCTACATTCGTCCCCCTATTTCACACGGACTCGGTGATGCACTGGTGATATATACTGCACCAGCACTGTGACTCCAGGTGCCCGAGAAGTCCCAAGCTAATATCAGAATCGAACAGAGCAAGTCGATTACTCCAGTAGAATACGTTGGACACAGCCCCTTTCCGGTCAACAACTTCATCTACAAGACTACACTCTCTCCACCCGCCACGAAAGAGCATTTCACCAGAGCAGGGCACCAGACATGTGCCGTATTGCCCCCTTCGACAGGTGAACATACTGTTATTGTCAGGTTGAGTAATCCGATGTCTGTGGGGATGAATAACGCGAATCGTGTGGAGAATGAAGTTTCTGCCATGGCGGTGGCAAGGTTAGCCATGGCGGGTATTGAGGGAGGAAGGTATGATGCCATAGTGCCTCGTGTTTATGCATGGAAGAGCATTAAACTGGTGGCTGGAGGTGCTCCCGAGAGAGGATATGGGTGGATAGTCATGCAGTACATGGAGGGTGAGGTGTTGGATAGGGTATTTGGAGACATGGAGTGGCATGAGAAGAAGAGGGTCATAGGCGAGATTGCGTGCATTTTTGCGGCTTTCCAGAGGGCGAAATTGCCCCGAAGAGTCGAGCTCCATGGAGGAATGACAGTTCGGCATGGAGATATTGTTTCGGGACAGGCTACGATGCACAAGGGCGAGCCGTCGGGATACGTTGGCCTTTGGAAGGCCAGAATCGACCATGCGTTGGAGGAGGCTGACGAGAGCATGCTCATCAACGGTTGGAAAGGAAGCGTCCGCGAAAGAATTGAAAAGTTCAAAAATGACAAGTTGGAGACTCTTATCCACAACGGAGAGGTCGATACGACTTTGCTTGGACTTGTCCACAACGATTTCAGTAAGTTCCGCTCTTCACGCTTCGTTTAGACCAAATTTGACACCCTGAAAAAAGCCATGAGCAATATGCTCTATAACCCGCATACGAAGCGCATCACAGCGCTCCTAGACTTTGACTGGTCGTCCGTCACCCACCCCGCGCACGAATTCTTCACGTCCTTTCATGACGTACACGGCAGGGTCGATGAAACTTCCGACAAGCTGCGCAGGGCTATTCTTAGCGGCGACTTTAGTAATCGTCCTGATAAAGATGAGGATCAAGAAGCGTGGAAGTTGGCAAAGACGTGGGATGAAGCTCTCAAGGGGCATGGTGGAATGAGACCTTGTGATGTCAAGGGGATGGGCCTACTGCAAGGGCTCTGGAAATTTGTTTACTGTATTTGCCCGTTTGAGTTGGGCAGCAAGGTTATTCTCTTTCGAAGATCAAAGAAGGAGAGTGAGGCTGCAAAGGTGAGGGTTGAGGGACAAATTAGCAAGATGTTGAGCGGCTGGGGAGTCTGAGGTCAGTTACGAACATGTTTCTTATTACTAGCACCAGCGAAGTGTATGATTCTTGATTAGTGTTGAGAATTCGTTGCCCCTATGGCTGGCAGCCATACAAAGTAATTGCCTTGGAGGATCACATTCATTGGGCTGTGGAACAATTACAGAATGCAGACTTGTTCAAAAATTAGTTTGCTCTAGATCCCTGATAGTCGTGCCTGTAGCTCACAAACTCAGTCATCCATTTGCCGATTCGCTTATTTCTCACTTGCTGCTCACGTCTCGCTATATATAATGGTGGGACTCGCGGGCCGACGAGACCTCGTTGATATATGTTGTGCGTCCATGTTTGACTTTACGGTGTGAGTCACCGGCATAAACTATATTTTGCTCCACGTAATGAGTGGCTGAGGCTATTTCGCGATAGCCTTCGCTGGCGCGCGCTGTGATAAATCACTAACTAGCTAGTGTGTCTGACGCATCGCGATGCGTGTGCTCATGGTGTCTTGGCCTAGGTACGGCTAAAATCCAGTGTTGCTAGATGCTCCCCATTTAGCCCCTTTTTTCCTAATTCTTCTTTAAAAAGTTAAATAAATTAATAATAAGAACGTTATTTTTAGTTAATGGTAATGATCACGTGACACGGTCTATAGTTACTTCAGATCCCATTACATAGATGGCTCGGGTGGAGAGCTGGCATGGGACGATAGGCGCCGTGGTTCGGCTCAATCGGTGGTGAATTGCCCGTTTCGGCAGCCTCGACCCCGCGACTTCCTCCTCAAGCCCTCAAAAGGCTCCACCGCCCACCCAACTTCCCCAACTTCCGGTGGAAACATCTACCGTCATATCGATCCTCTTCACTCCTTGGTCTTGTGCCACACCACGTTTCGAGTTTCCATATCTACTTCAATACCGAGTTTATTCCTGGACTAGTTGAATTAGTCTGTCCATGCTGCTGCGTTCCACGCCATGCAGTCATGATTGCCCCCTCACTGCCCACGAATCAGACTGAAGGCCGTCACATGTCTCCGCCGGAGACGCCAGATGGTGCCCATCGAGCTCGAGTCGTGCGAGCGTGTGTTAGATGCAGGAAGCAGAAATTAAAGGTATCACTCCTTCCCTTCCCCCCCTTCCCTCTTGGAGGACTCAACTTTGATGTTGGCAACGGATTAGCTAAACCAAAATGTGCGCTTCTGCAGTGCGACACGGTCAGGCCCTGCACGCTATGCCGCCGCTCAGGCTTCCCTTGTGAGGCACGGGATGAGAATGGTTCCGCCAAAATCAAGAGGGCTGTCAAGAGAGCCAAAAGAGACCCGATCCCGCCAGATTCAGCTTCTCCCGAACAAAAGAAGCATAACCTTCAGCTCAATCCGACTCGTGCAAGCCCGCAATTTCAGTCCCATTCTCCAGGCCAGTCTCAGGGTCCCCACGGTAGCTTGAGTGAGCGACAGCGGTTTGGTGCCAACAGTTCTGCGGTTGGTTTTGCTGCCCGTATGTTTGGTGACTCGGCGGGTTCTCATCCGACCGATATATCCAAGAGCATCCCTGGCTATGCCGGTCGGTCCAAAATGGGTTGTGCCGGGCCCCCTTGGTCCTTGGTGACTATGCAATGTCCTTCGCCGGCGCTGCTCGAGGCACTCATAGATGCGTATTTTGATCGGATGCACTGGTTCACACTAATTTTTCACGAACCGTCATTCAGACAAGCAGTAAAACATGTTCTTTCCAGGACCTCGTGGCATCGGGACGAACTCGGATTTGTCTTGGCTTGTCTAACGGTGTCTGCTGTCGGACTGAAGTGCGTTGTTCGGGACCCGTCCTGGATAGGTCATGCGATGCTCGGAGAAGAGTCCTGGGATGCCATGACACTTCTCGAAGCACTCATCAAGGAAGTCCGCTTTCACCTCTTGGATCTTCTCGATGACTGCTCCATCGAGACTGTACAAGTCTGCAGCCTTCTGGGAACCTACTACATCTTCCACGCATCCCCCACTCTAGCATGGAGTATCCTGGGCATGGCGGTCCGCACTGCATACGCTCTTACGTTGCATTGCGACGGTGATGATGATAATGCAAATGGAAAGGATTATGACCCCGTTGTCGCACAGGTACGCCGCCGAAACTGGAATCACATTCTCGTGGCAGATACGTTTGCTGCCATGATATACGGGCGCCCAGTTTCCCTCGACGCTGCCTTTTCCTACGTCCAGCCTCTTGATGACTTGGATGACTTGGTTTTGGGACCTGGTCTGTCCAAACACCCTCTTCTGACTGCCAATTCGCCAAGTTCCAAATCCTCCCGTCCAGTGTCTAGACAGACGTTTCATGCGTTGAAATACTACCTGTACGACATTGTGCGGGAGGCACTAAATCGTTTCCGGCTCTTGCGTCTGCAAAGCCCCATCTCGCCGGCAGAGTTGGTTTTTTTAGTAGAAGCAGTGCAACATGTTCGCTCCTTGTTATATGCTTGGAAAGCAGATCTGCCGGCTGTCTTCGACACGAATCCGACTTCCCAGGAGGCTATCCTTGCCGAGCTCGGTAGCATACCGGACCTATCTCCTGAGGAGCAGAAATTCCGGCGACACTTGTCTCTTCAAATCAATGCCTTGAATGTCACATATAACAGTGCCGTCATCTTCATCCATCGACCCCTTCTGGAATATCAAGTGGCAGCCGACTCACGCCAGGCCTTGTCTAGCGAAACACTTCAGGTTGTCTCAGAGTCCCTGCAAGTGTCTGTCAATGCAGCCCTGGAAATGTCTCGACTACCGGTTTCTCATCTCGAAAACCAGTTTGCAATGTCGTTTGTACTGATGAATTTCTTTACTGCTGGCGTCATTCTTTGCATTCCGCCTACCACTTGGCCGCTGAGCTCCATAGCTCACGAGGCCAAGGCGGGGACATTACGCATTATTCATGCTAGTCGAGCCTTGAAACCTGTTACCCCTATTGCGTCCCATACTGAGCAACTGCTCACAGGACTGTTAAGGCGTAGCTTGCAGCAGGAAGTAGACAGCGGTCTCCATCAAGAACATAATATAAGAATCGAGTCGGATCGGCGCTATCCAGCGTCGATAGACCAGAACATGAGGTATTCACAGCAGAATCACTTCCCCATTCAAAATGAAACCGAAGCCCGAAATGAACAGGCGAATCAAGTGCCGGTACAAGAAGCGCCCCGGTTCTCACAGGCGGACCGGCAAGGGCCAATATCAGGAGATCAAATGCGGATGGTCAATGGCTCGCCATTTCCACTCAGACATGATGGAGAAATTGAGGGTGCCAACGTAATGCATTCTGCAAACACAATTTACGACGAGAACGGAAATCTAGTGATATCCAATAACGACCCCCGGCGGGGAGCAATAGACTATCATTACGCCGAACAGCGCCACCAGGTAGGCTCACAATTGGATGAAGTCTTTGGCATATTTGGACAGAGTAAGTAGACATTCTTTTTTTTTTCCGCAACTTTGGTGCTACGCGATAAACACACTCTGTACTAAACCGTTTATTTAACAATGAGTCGCTGATTCCGAATCTCCTAGTGCTTTTCAACTTGGTGCCAAATGACCCATACAGCGCTTGGAATTGGGGAAATGGTGGGTTTTGACAGACACGATTAGACCAGCATGATTAGACATTATTTGGCAATAGTGTTTTGCACAGGATTTAGTAGCCACGCTATATTCATACCCATTTGACAATTCACAATCACTTCGTCAGATCTCTTTTGTCATAAAACGTTTTAATCATTGGGAATCTCGTTTCGATTTTTCATACGTCTCTTCAGCTAGGCCTCTTTACTGATTCATCCCATTATGAAACCAAACCCAGCTTCCAGCAAGGCTTTTAAACACCAACCCTTCCGACACCGATGCAAATGGTCCAGACATACACATAAGGAAGGAAAACACGACTATCCACAAATTTATGCGGAGGCCAGATCCTTCTTGAGGGTACCCTGATACTGCTTCTTCTCTGCGGGGGTCTGGAAAGCACCGTGACCAAACTCGGAGGAGGTATCGATCCATTTGAGGTTGATCTTCTCGAGAGCACGGCGGGAGGTGTGGGTGAACATGGACTTGCGGAGAGTCATGACACGCTTCTTGACACCAGGGATGGAGCCCTTGAGCATGACGAAGTCGTTGTTGACCTCACCATAGCGGACGAAGCCACCAAGACTGGAAAAAGAAAAATTTTGCATCAGTATAAAAGCACGAAATAGTCAAGTGGTTTGCCTCAAGGGGAAGGAGAGGGGGGGATTAGAGCATACGGAGTAATCTTCTTCTTGGTCACGTCAACCTCGGTCGAGGCGCTGTCCTCGGCGTCACCCTTGCCAATGCGGTAAACCTTGTGGTTGACCGAGGTACGGTGGTGGTATCCCATCTGACCAGCACGGGCAACAGTCCACTGGACGTGGGAAGGATGCCAGGCACCGATACAAGCAACCTTTCGCAGACCCTTGTGCGTCTTTCGGGGAAGCTTCTTGGTGCCCCAGCGGGCAGTGACGCCGTTGAAGCCGTGGCCCTTGGTGACGGCAATGACGTCGATCATCTCGTCCTGCTCAAAGATGGTGTCAATGGAGACGGGCTTCTCGAAGAGGTCCTGGCCAAAGGAGACCTTGTCGGCGACGCTGCCGCCGTTGATCTGGATCTCCATGAGGTGGGCCTTCTTCTGCTTGAGGGGCGTCTTGCGGATCTGGGTGTGGGCGAGAACGCGCACGACGGTGCAGTACTTCTTGATGCGCTCGAGCTCGCGGGTGATGCTGGCGCCGCTCGACTCGCTGTGCTTCTTGGCGTACTTGGTGAACGCCTTCTTCTTGCTCTTGTACCAGTTCTTGTAGAAGCGGCGCTTGACCTCGTCGGACAAGTGCTCAGCCCACACGGTGGTGAGGGAGCGCAGGCCGCGGGGGGTTTCGATGTAACCAACGAGACCAACAACGATCATCTAGATGAGGAAAAGATGTTAGCCATAGGCTCAGATGCCAAGCGGGCTGAGTTGTTCGTACTGGTGGTGTATCGACGACCGTGACGGCCTCCACGACCTCCTTCTTGTTGGCCTTCGCGCCAGGTCGGTCGAGGTCACGAACGATCGTGGTCATACCGGCCTTGTAGCCCATGGCGGCGGTCAGGTGCACAGGCTTCTTGGGGTCATCCTTGGGGAAGCTGTTGAATGCGTAGGCAATTGGTCAGCAAGCTCCATTCTTTACTAGATTTTTGTGAAGCTGGTGATGCTCTTGCAGGCGAGAGAAAAGAGAGGGAAAAAAACTTACGACTTGACCTTGCCACGGTGACGGGCGGCACGCTTCCTGGGCAAGAAAGCCAGGGAGCCGTGTCGGGGAGCCTCGAACTTGCGGTGCTATTCAAATTAAATAAATTAGCATTCGTCGGTCGATCAATGTTTAATATCTTTGTCTTCTTGTCGCTGTCATGGCATCTTACACTCATTTTGGCGGGCTGGATGTGGTTTGGGGTTAGTAAAGAAGTTGACGAGGCCTGCGTGACGAGAAGAAAGACCAAAGAGTACGAGGGTTTTTCTACAAAATTTGTGGGCGAAATTTTAAGCGAGGACCTGTGGGCAGCGTGCGAGTTGTGGCTCGTGCACACACCGCTAATCCTATTTGTGGCACCTGAACTTTTTCTCCACCAGGATTCTCCACCGCGATCTTTGACCGAGCCAGACCGTCTCACGTGATCATCTCACCTTGTCATCTGGCCGAGCACGGTGCCGGCCCTGGAGACGTGGCAGGCTACACGGAAAGACACTACAAGGCATGCAATTGATTGTTTATAAACTATCAAGTTGTATCACTGTGCAGAAACTACTACTTACTTGGAGAGGCTACTACTCAAAGTACGGATATCGTTCGCTTGTGACTTTTTCGTAGCCAAGAAAGAAACATGAAATCCCGCTGCACCCGTCCGCCATTTGCCATTCGAGCCCCAAGCATCCCCCAAAGACAAAGGAAAGTGAAAAAGCAGGTCCGGATAGTCTCCGGTGGTATACACTTCGCGAATAAACATGAAACGAAATTGCCACATAACTTTCAGAGAGCTCATTAAAATACTCTTGAACCGCCCCCAACCCAAAACCAAGGGGAAAAAAATCACACTTTACTCCGTTTTAGTAGCGGTACCAGATGTGCCATTGACCCCTGCACTCGCCGGTGACGTGGCCTTAGCATCACTAGATCCTGACGAAGGGCCAGATCCATTTGCGACGATGCCAGTCTTCTTGTCCTCCTCGGGGCTATCGTCGTAGTCTTCATCGACATCCATCTTTCTCGCGGCTCGCTCAGGTTCCGCAGATATGGGAGCAACAGCGGTAGGACCTTGCTCCGAAGCTGGACGTTCCTCCTTAAGGGGGGGGCCAGGCTGTGTCTTATCCTGAGGACCGCCGGGAGGGACGTTACCTGGCTGCATGGGTGGAAGCTGGTTTGAGCTAATGGAGTGATTCTGGGGGTGGTGAGCAGCCTCAGAAGGATGATAGCCGTCACTTTGAGGACGAGCCTCCTCTTTCTTAGGCTCATCCGGGCGACGCTGTTCATCCGAGCGGCGGACTTCATTAGAATTGCGTCGGTAGGCGTCGCGGGGAGGGGTCGAGGGTCGCCGGTGTCTCATGTCATCCAGACGAGCGCGATTCTCCTCGTTGGCTTGCTTCTTGGCAACGGACTCTTCCTCCCACTCGCGCATGCGCTTGGGTCCGACAGATGGGGGACGGTCGTCAGAACGCTGGACAGCGGCATCAGGAACGGCGCCGGGAGGAGGGGGGCCATTTTCAGAAACACTTGGAGGGGGGCCCTCAGGATGGTGAGGAGGGTAGCTCGAAGCACCCGGGTGCTGAGGGTAAGCCGTCTTGGGGGATGGCATCCGACTGTCGTGTGGCCTAACCTCGCCTCGGGGACTGCTGGTTGGTCTGAAAGGAGCGGCACCGTTGGAGGGTGCATTGGCTCCGTTGGCACTATTTGATGGAGGGCCCCCAGATGACGGAGGAGGGCCTCCCCAGTTGGGATTGGCAACTCGTCGATCAGGACCCTGCGACGGAGGGGGAGGAGGAGGCTGCCCGTACTGATGGCCACCAGGTGCTGGTGAAGGTCCGCGGCGGGATGGGCCCGGGGGAGCAGCACCTCGGGGCTCAGAGTATCCTCCTTGTCGCATCTGGTCCTGTTGAGGACTGAGCTGGCGTTGAGGCGGTGGGGGAGGCCCTCTGAAAGGCTCTCCTCGGTTCTCATATGGATTCGGAGGTTGTGGTGGCGGGTTGACATTGGAAAGTCTGCCAGCCCAGTTATCACCGGCGCCAGCAGGTGCTGGGGGAGGACCGCCAGCGGGAGGCTGCTGCGCTGAACCACCCCATTGTGGTCCAACTGGGCCGGACGGACCGGCAGCCTGATACGCTTGAGGGTGCACATCTGCCGGTTGAGGTGCGGGAGCCTGCCCGCTGCCGTTGCTGCCGCCGGACCGGAGGAGCTGTAAGCGGGCCTTGATGTGTGGGTTGCCAGGGTCAAGCTCTGCGGCTCTTTGATAGGCATCCAGAGCGTCGGCAATTTGGTTATTGCAAGATTCATACTGGACCCGGGTGGTCAGCTACCATTGGGTGGCAGAGCAGGGGATAAATAACGCATCAAAAACATACCAGGGTGCCAAGGTCATACCAGACCTCCGAAATATAAGGATTGAGGCGGATGGCACGGGAGTAGGCGTCGAGCGCATCGCGATACTGATTGATCTGGTAATACAACACACCAATAGAGCACCAAAAAGTCGGGTTCTTTCCATCACGGTACACGGCCTGCTGGTACGCTTCATAGGCCTTGGGATATTTCTGCTGGGCCATGTAGCAACGACCCAACAGGTACCAGCTTTGGGCATCTTGATTATCTGGAACATGATGTTAGGTTTGCGTGAGCGTCGTATGTCATGGACGCAATCTTACCGGCCGAGACGGACTTCTCCAGATACTGGATAGCCCGGTCTTGAGTATCGTACGAGGTGTCTTGCTGGTGGTGTAGCCAACCAAGTTGCTGCAGAACCTTGGCGTGGTTGGGAGAGTGGTCGAGGACGCGCTGATAAGCCGCTTTAGCGCTGTCGAACTAGAAGCATGTCAGTAGCCGATCAATGAGTAAATCGAAGTAGGAAACGCGGGACACACGTCTTTTTGTTGCTCGTGGACGTGGCCAATCTGGAACCAAATGTCCTCCTGCGTCAAGGGGCCGGGAGGCGAATTGACAATATACTTGAAACACTATTGACAAACTGTGTTAGCTAAGAGAAAAATGAGGTCTTCACCACAACTCTCAGCCACGTACATCAAGACTTTGATTGAATTTTGACTGCTGTTTGTATATGATACCAAGGCGAAAGTAAATCTCATTGGCCTTCTCAAAATCGGGTTGGATCTGCATAACCTGAGAAAAGGCCTCCTCGGCGTAGTCGTAGCTGCCGTAGCGATCATAAAGAATACCAATGCCATACCAAAGCATAGGGTCCTACGTCACAAGTATTAGAACCGTTGTTCCCGTTGTTGGAGCTGGTATTATCCCGCTAAAAAAAACTAACCTTTGGATCCCGAAGGTTGACAAGGGCTTGCTGGTAAGCGTCATAGGCCTTTTGAAGGTTTTCCGTCATAAGGTAACAGTGGCCTATCCGCCTGTTAGCGCGATCCCAAGAATTGCATCCAGCAATACGCAAATGACGTACCTAGATTGCCCCAAGCTTCGCCATTGTTCTGTTCCAGCTGCACAATGGCGCGGAAGAACTCAAGAGCCTTGTCGAAGGCCTCGCGACCTTTGAGAAGCATGCCGATGGCATTCATGGCTGCCGTTGAGTTTGGGTTGGCCTGCAGGGCTCGCTCGTAGGCGTGCATGGCCTCGTCCGGAACGCGCAGCAACTCTGAGAAGCTCCCTGAAGTGACAGTTAACCTGCCTGGTTGCCACAAAGATAGGCGCGGCATCTCTCAAGAGGCGCAAGAGACAGACTTACCAATCTGCAGCCAGACTGCCTCGTTCATGGCAGCAATCTGATGCGACGGCGCAAAGTGGCCCGGCGGGACGCTCTGAGGCGGTGCCACCGGGGCCTGATGCTGTTGCTGTTGCTGCAGCTGCATCATTGTGGGAGAAGGATGGTGGTTGGCCATGGCGACAAAATGTCGAAGATTGACGATGCCGGCTTGGCGCTATGCGGCGTCGTCCAGGCCGTGCAAGGGTGTAAAAATGCAACGGCAATGAGCAAGCAGAAGTCGAAGTCTCTCGCAAAAAGCCAAAGCAGGCTTTGTTGTGCGACGTGCGACGTGCGATGTGCGATGAGATGTCGGGGTGCAGGGCAGGATCAACTCCAATGACCCGTGATCAAGTTCGGATGGGCAATGGGCACCTAGCGCATGGACTGGGTTGAGCCCACGTTTTTCGTCACGAGCTGGATCCCCAAACAACCCGTCAGGGCGAAAGAAACGGCGGCAGAGGACTCGGTGCCGCAGTGACTGACAAAAGAGATTGAGTGCGTCAGAGACGGTTTGGCCCGAGATGGCAAAGGGACTCGATGATGTCCTAGTCCAGCAAAGCCCGTATCCAGATTGACGACGCTTTGGGGGAAGAAGGAGGAAAGGAAAACGGACAATTGGGGAGAGGCTGTTGGGTTGGTGGAGGAAGGACCTGCACAGCTGGCTGTCAAACTTACCTTACCCATGAAAATGGGAGGGAACGGGCGCACTGGCGCTAGACCCACGCCGGCGTGCCGTGGCGAAGCGAGCGGGGCCACCCTTGCACTCTGCATCTGGTTGGCGGCGGGTTGGCGTGGGCACATAATATGAAAGCATTAATACTACTCCGTATGTATGTATACCAAGGACGTGGAGAGGCAGGCGGCCTGGGAGACGGCACCTGGGAAGGGCTGGGGCCAACCGGCCAGCGACACTCCAGGGCGACGGGCTACGGGCTTCGGACTGCGGGCCACGGGCCACGGGCCAGACGGCTAATAGATTAGTACCTAGCATACACATAACACCAGACGTCGAGCACGCCAGAGCGTCGGCGTGCCTGGACATTTAGAGTGCTTCAACTACTTAAGTACCCGGCGCCTCAGGAATCGAGTGCCTGGGCTGCCTCGTGCGTCCTGTGCATCGCGCGCATCAAGTGCATCTCGCGCTCGAGTGTGGCCGTAAATACTGAGCAGCTCTGCCCGGGTATTCCGTACATCACCAGCGGCTGCAAGCCAAGGCCACACGTCGTGCTCCAGACATTGTATCAGCGCCCAGAACACAGCATAATAGAGCACGCAGCACGCAGCACATACTGACGTTGAAGCAGAGCCCACGCCGCATATCGCATGCCGCATGCCGCATGCTGCACGCCCCTCGCAGCCCGCACCCCTCACACCACACACCTCAACCGCGCTTGCACGCCGCTTCCCATCTCACACACCACTACGGAGTGCCAAACGGAGTGCACCCTTCACATTGTGGGCTTGGGGCCTTGACCTGGCCTTGCGTGGATTCCAAGGTTGTGAGGTCGTGCATCTTGTCTTGTCCTGACCTGACTTGGCTGCTTCCCCCACCCAACCCCCAGGTCTAGCACCGTTCAGTCTTCCCTGCTTCCGGGGTTGACAGAACAAGACTTCGATGGGGACAATTGGAGTACCAGAAACGCTGACAAAGCCTGAGGCTGACCGTCGCCATTGCCATGGCCATCACCATCGCCGCCCTGCAGCTCTCTATGCAGACAGCAATATGCCCCATAACTCCAGCCACTCGTGCACGAAACAGCCTCACCTCAGTCCTCTTTCGCGTGCAGGATACGCACGTTGCCCTGGAGGCGCTCTCAGTGGGGGAGAAGCCACCGTCATCGTGGCCGATGCCATCCAGGCGACTAGCCAAACCCAAGTCGACATAAACCTCCTCCGCAAGACAGTAACGTCCGTCAGAGCAGGCGGTAGCAACTCAAATGATGATGCAATAATTCCGGCGTTGCATGTATTTTGACTCGAAGGCATGGCTAGAGAATGGTCTCTTGCCTCTCGCGGGCGAACCAAGTGGCTAGTCAGTGCACGTGATGCAACAATTGTGCCATCGGCCTGTCACCCGTCAATAACCAGGTACCTAGTAGGCCAAGGAGTACGGAGTAGATGCCGCAGGGCTTGCGTGTTTGTGCCTCTTTACACCTTAAATCTAATGTGAATCATCACATACTCCGTACTATTTGGCCACCTCGAAGGACGGCCCTGAATCACCACTCCGATGTGCCCGACCGTAGCCAAAATGGACCTATGCCACACGTGAGCCTATTGATGAAGAGTCGGTAGTTACGTACTTGCTGCGCAAATAACCGCCCCAAAAAAAAATCGCCGGCGCGCCGTCGAACGTGTTAGATATTAGCTCATGTATGATCTGCCTACGTGATTTCCGAGCTAGGCAGTGTTCCATCACCGTACCATCTACCCCTTCCCGCTACCGACGTAAATCTGTGATCTACTAGGGGGGTGCTGAAACCATGAAAAATCCATGTCGACTAGGGAGACGAGCCGTTGTCGCAGTCAGCATGAAAAACGAAACAGCCCAGGTCCAAAGCGAAACAAGTTGACAGAAATACGTGCTGCGTTTGGCGAGAGCAATCTGAGTCTGAGCACATATTGCGCTGAGTCTTTTCGCAGTTGGTGACCAACAACCTTCATAATCCAGGCTTGCAGAGTCAATGAGGGCCAGGTACTAATCGCACCGTGATAACAAATATTCGAACTCGGGCGAAGGGCCACGTCAAAGTTTTTAGTGTGGTGGCGCTCTCACAGCACGGTGCATGAGATGCTAGGCACGTGTTTGTGCTTCTGGAAGAGCGGGCCAAAATCTGGGCTGCACAACATGTTGTCGTAATGTGGTCTGGTTTCTGGATCTCGGCCCTTTTCATCATTGTTGCCAGCGTCATAGAGGAGCCACAAACGGGCAGTCATCTTAACTTTGACATAACTTCCAACGCCAAACGATGCAGGTCAGTGCAGGCATGCCAATACGGCCGAATCCATCACCCGGTTACAAGGGGCAAAGCCCACCACAGGAAAAGGGTGGAGGTAGTGGTATTTCCATAACATCTCTGTGGATTATGCCGTGTCGTAGCAGGTATCGTTATGGGAGCTAGGGTGTTTCGGTTTGCAAAACCAGGTGAGCGGCGCCAATTTGGGAGTGGTATAAGTAATACACCGACAAGTCTTGCACGAGACACATAATTTTCGTGAGCCAAGCCTGGCAGCGACTATGAGAACGCTGCCATATTGTCAGGCACTCAACGACGACAAGAGCCAATAACAGCAAGATCGATTGTGCTGTGCCTAGCCCCGGCATCATTGTCAAGCGCCCTGCGCTAAAACAAAGTTTGAAGGAGAATACTCCAACGTTAAATAGTAACTCTTGCCAGGGCAGTTGCAATTATTGCAAAATTTGGGCGGAAACTGAGTTTCATACGCGTGATATAGTCGTTATCGGGTCAATGAACCAGAGCACCAGGGCCGCGACGAGTTGAACACCACGATATGTCGTGACCCGACCGCATGTGGTGTTGAGACGATGCAACCACTCTTCAGAAAAGTCTGTAATATTGTCAGCCAAGCCCTGGGAATGGGGCCACAATTGCACTCTAGCGCCCCATCCCCCTTGAAAGGTTTCAAACTGGCCAAGCCAAAAAAGAAAAATAAAGGGTCATCACTCACCACGTTTAATGGATAAGGATCCAGACTCAAGCCATCGTGCGCGCGCACCAACAAGGTGGCTTGCTCGCCAACAACCTGCTCCCGCAGCCAATGCCCAAACATAGCCAACATGGCAAAGATGGCGTTCGGCCAAGGGACTTCCCCCCATGTCCTCCTTATGATGCAGTCTGTGTGCAGGACCATGCAGACACACGAGTGGCGGCTGGGTACTGGGCATGGATGTGTTACATCACGCTCTTTCCCCTATGGATGGAATGCTCAGATGCTCAGACTGCACAGTTGCCCTATTGCATCGTGCTCCGTGCTTCTGTCGGATCGAGGTCTTAATAGCCTCAGCAGGGGTCGGGAAGGCAAAACGCATCCCGCCGTGTGCTGGGGCAGCATCGGAGGCTATACACGAAGCTAGGGTGGTGTCGACGACCAGAAATATCCAACCTCGTGCTGCAGGCTGATCGCGGAGTGGAAGGGCGTTAACACTTTCGCACTGACGAGGTCACGAGCGGCGTTGCTGCAAGTGGTAAGTGGAAGACGACGGGCGACTTGTCGACGGCTGCTCACCTGTCCACTTTGGACAGTGATGGTGCGGGAGCTAACATTGTCTCTCGGCAGAAAACTCGTCTATTGTATAAGTCAATGAATGCATGTACTCTGTACGCATCTGGCCTGGTGGTGATTGAGTGTTTGTGTGGGTGTTTGGGTGTTTGGGTGTTTGGGTAGCATCAAAGTGTCCGTACTCAGGGCGGCATTGTACTCTAAACTCTTGACACTTGAGTACTGCTACTGCTGCTGCGTACGGAGTCAGCATCAGTTTTGACGCTGTCTGGCTCCTTTCCCTCTTATCTGGGGCTCCGAAGCCCCCAAAGGAAACCTGCCGAACTCGCTGACGTGCCGCCACAACCACACCAGACGCCTCTTTGTCCCCACCCCTTGTTCCCCGTCCTCTCCAAGTTGACATTTAAGAGTCCACGCCCTTTCTGGCCGTGCTCGGTGCATCTGCCTTCAGATGTGGCTGGGCCCCTTCAGCTGCCAGTGTTGGAATTTGCTAGTAATCAGTAAGGTAATTAAGACAGGCCGGCCTGACTCGGGCCAGGTAATGGAGGTAAAACACATGTATGCCACATAATCGCTGTGTTAATGATGTCAGGTACCCCTACATATGAATTTATATGTAAAGATACATATTATATTTCCTAGCTCAGTTGAAAGTTATTAAGGACAAAAAAGGATTTATAATAGGCAGCCGTAATGAATGATATTATGTGACAGCTAATGTGGATAATAAGTATCTTAAAATAGCTTCATTTAAGCGATTTTTTATAAAGGTGTGTGACCGTACTCCGTATAAACAGTACGTTATCCCCATACAAAATAGGGGCAAAAACAAAAGCCGAAAAGGGCTCAGTCCACTCCCTCTCCTCGGATCCTTGAACCAATCCTTGAGTTGGGTCGTCGAGACCAGACCCTCCTCTCTTCAGCCTCTCTCATCCTCTGCCCTCCCACGCCCTTTTATTATCCTGGCTCGGCCCAGAACGAAAAACACTTTTCTATTCCCTAATTCCGCCGCCTACTGGCTGCGGCCAACCCCCGGCTCATGCTCGTCCCCACAAAGACTCGGGCCCCGCCGCTCGTGATTGCCAGAATGTATCGGAGTAGTACGTACTACGTGCTTGGATAACTTCCAAGGTCAATAAGCAACAAAAGACTGCATGTACGAAGTACATCCGCAGCAACAGTTACGCCCATGCTTCGTACTGAGCGAACACTAGTACCCAGGTACTTCAGAAGCGCAGACCAAACCTCCCCTTGTCCAATCCACCCATTCGATGCCTCTCCTGAGTCGTCCTAGCCAAACATTATTTCTATCCAGATGTCCTCCTTGCCCACATTAACATGACACTAGAACCATTAGCGTTGCCTAATGTAGTGCTCGCTGACGTGCCCAGTTCCACAATCACAACTTCTTGTCACCAGCCTGCCAACGGATCTGGGTCATCGTGACCGTCACAGTTCCTGACTACCCCAGTCTGCGGGCTCAAGTCCAAATGTTATTCCTCGGCGCCGCTGCCGATGCTCAAAACACCATGGTTTACAAAGTCAAGTCGGCTGATGGGGCCCAGGCCAGGCCAAGCCCATCCATATCGAACGAAACGGTAGTTATATGACGACTCGGGGAGAAAGGGTGGCACACAAAGTCCATTCCGCAGCTGCGCAGGAGTCACTGGTGCGTTGTCCGTGGCGGCAACCCCCCGCCGCCTCTGTCGCCGCTGTTGCAGCCAACACAGCGTGGCTCTGCGATCATGGCACGTCAGATGAGATTCATGTGTTCGTTCTGGGGTCGTCATCGCACAGGGAGAGTATGCCACGGCCTGCATACCTCGCTTTGTCGCATGTGTAAGCCCTTTCCGGTATCGACGGTCAAATGCCAGTTTCTCCGCGACCGACGGGCCTGTCATCGCGTCATTTGGACTCGCTGGCTCTAAGAAATCGCCTGAGTTCCATCCGCAGTCCTTGCTTGCTCCGGCAGACTTCTTGTGGTGAGGCAACCCTCCCGCAATTCATGCAGAGTATCATGACTCCGGCAAACGCTACTGCGAGAGTCTAAGTTTCACCTCTGGTCGCGTCTCTGACCCCACAATTTTTAGGCGACCCATACCTACCTAGGTAAGTATACCCTAACACATCACAGTACGAAATTGCAACGCGTGCGATAAATCGATACCTTAATTCTCAGCTCTAGTCATAAGAAAGGCTTGTTCAACAAAATACTATGCATTACTACTTCGTAATATATTCAAGTTTCGGTTAAAAGGGGAATGCCGTCAGTAAATGTTAATAATAAAACAGTAAAAAGAAAGGGAAGGTCACGAATACCCCAGCAGCCATCTAGTACTGTGGCGGTCGCCTACGGAGTACTTCGTACCCTTCTTGCAAACCAGAATCTGCAGCCCGCCGAGCCTAATGTCATCTGTCAATCGGCAACCTAAAAAAAAAGAATGACCCGCAGCTCCCGACGCCTGGTTTTAGCGCAATGAGGTCACCTGCGCATGCACATGAGCGCAGACGGTAGTTACCTGGGCCAGACAGACCAGGATTCAGCCGTGCGAACAGCTACCCTAAAGCAATCCTACTTTTTATAGCAACGCGCTCGTGACAAGCGGTGTGTTTCTGCATGCGTTGTGACAGGGTGTTCTGATGGCAAAAAAGGCCGCTTCATTCGAGAACCTTTTTTTTTTTTTTTCGTTTTCGAGGTTCATGCGAAGCCGCAGGCGAGCTCGAGCCGCTGTGCAGATGTCTTTGATTTCAGCGTGGCAACCCCCCATTAGATCGTTGCCCAGGCCTGGGTCGTTGAATAATAATATCCATCGACATCTTGGTATGTGGGCCAATGAAAAACACCTCGATCCCGCGATTGGATGCGGGCGCGACTTGAAATTGCCCGAATTGGCGAGAATAAGAGGGCATGGTCGGTTGCATTTACAACCAAACACACACCATACTTGGGATGAGATACACCAATATCGCTTTATTGCCATGCATTAAGAGCCACGAGACAAACGAATCCCCTATAACAGCAACACAAAGAAAGAGCAAAGACATCCCAAGCATCCCAACTCCGTCCTGTTAAGACGATGGTATCTCCATCCGACACTATAAAATAAACCATCCACTCTTACAACACCATACATATTCTACACTGCGACAGATATTCTGTGCCCAGTGAGCCCCCCACCTAGTTTTTGCTGGTTGTTCCATCATCGTGCTCTGGCTCGAATTTTGTTTCCCCTAGCACTGCACCGGGTTGCGATGCCATAGCTGTATGAGCACTAGGCTGTGGTTGTGTCTGAATCGGTGGGCCAGAAGGCTGCGTGGGAGCAGGAGCCCGTGTAGCGGCCGCGTTGAGTCTCTGGTCAAGAGCCTTCAGCGCAATGGCTCTTCTGCGCTCAGCCTCGGCGCGAGCCGTACCAGGGGTGCCTCTCTGTAGGGCGCGATCGCCCCGCGCGGACATGTCTGCGTGCGAAAAGGGCGTGCATAGGCGCATGGCGACGAGGACATCGAAAACCTGGCCCGACACGGCGGCGACAAAGGGCTTGACAGGCCCCGGGAAGAACTCGGCGAACGCAAATGTTTCGCTGGCGTCGCCGCGCAGAGACGCGGGCTGCGACGAGTCCAGGTCGGGAAACACCTTTTTGTAGAACCGGAGGTATGTCCAGCTCGCGAGGAAGCCAAAGGTGGCCTGCCACAGGGCTGCTCTCGAGAGCAGAGGCGTCAGGGATAGGACTGTCACGATGCCTATGTAGAGGAGCGGGAAACGGGGCACTTTGAGCGATACGATGCCGCGGAAGAGGGTGACGGTATGCGCGGGGATGAGCTGGCTGAATGCGACGAGGAAGGCGATTTGGATAGAAATGCCGCCAGAAATGGTTGTCAGACTACATTCACGTCACATTTTAGTTTTAGCAACCCTCTGCGAGGAAAACAATTCAAAGGAAATGGGGAGACTGCACTTACGTCCAGCTCTCATTGCGAGTAAGAGTAAAAAAGAGCACCATGACCAAAAAAGTCAAAATGTTAGGGACAAGAGTCACCAAGACCAAGAACTTGGCCAAATCCGCCGAGGACCAAGCTCGTTCCAAGTACCGCCCTCCATGGTACAGTGTCAGCCCGGAGATGGCCAAGGTGAAGACGTTGCTTTCCACCAGCGCCGACGACAGAAAGGTCCAGGGGAACACGAGCGACAGCTGCGGCACGAGCGTCAGGTAGGGGATGACGATGTGCGAGTTCTCAGTCCATTGTCGGTATCGTATTGCTGCGCTGAGGAAGGACTGCGACAGCAAAACTATCAGGATGGTGCGGGTGACGGGCGGGATGTTTAATCTCGGAGGCATGGCAGGCGTGACGGGGGGAAGGAAAAAGGGGGGGGGGGGGGGTGTTGGGGGGG